TTACACAGAAGCATACCACACAACATGAATCAAACATGTACTTTATTTATTTAYATTAAAYATCRRAARTACATCAAAACTGATTGAAGCTAAGGGCATACAAAAACTTTCCAACAAGGGGATCTTCCTCATTGATCGTGGCTTCCATCAAGTAACTTTCTTGATCATAGATGTAACGAACTAGAGGCCTAGAAACTCGGGTAGATCTTCTAGGTTGGGTGTTATCTGGAACCTGTAGGACATCTCACACTACTCCCGAGCTTTGCTCATCAATAACAATTTCCTAACGATGATTGTTCAGAATGTAATCTTCTTTCAAGAAGTAGGCATTTCGACTACAAAACACCTTTTGCTCTCTTGGGTCATAGAATAGGTATCTTACAGAGCTTTTGGGGTAGCCTACAAATAGGCAACGACTGGTCTTGGATTCCAATTTGTCAGCACTTGTTCTTTTAACATGTGTTGGACAACCCCAAATCTTCAAGTGTCTTACACTTAGTTTCTTACCGGTCCAAAGCTCATAAGGAGTCTTAGGAACGAATTTGGTTAATAACCGGTTTAGTAGGTATATCGCAGTCTTCAATGTGTACCCCAAAAGCATATAGGTAGTTTTGAGTGGACGAGAAGTGAATAAAACATATCTAATAGAGTCCGGTTTCTCCTTTCTGACACACAGTTTAATTATGATGTAGTAAGAGGAGACAACTGTGATACAATCCCATTGTCCTTTAAGTAGTCCCTGAATTCATCGAAAAGATATTCGCCTCCTCGATCTGATCAAAGGGATTTAATTTGTCTCCCCAACTATTTTTCGACCTCTTGTCTGAACTCTTTGAACTTTTCAAAGGATTCAGACTTATGTGTCATTAGGAACACGTAACCATACCGAGAATAATCATCGGTGAAAGTTATAAAATAAACATGTTGGTTTTGTGTCTTAACATTCATGGGATCATATACATCAGTATATATCAGGTCAAGTGTGCATGTAGATCTTTTAGGCTTTCCCGCAAATGATCGTTTCTTCATCTTACCCTGAAGGCAAGGTTCACAACTTGGAAKATCTTCTATATTTACAAAATCCAAAGGACCATCATTTACCAACCTTGTGATACGATCTATACTAATATAGCCAAGTTGGTAATGCCATAGGCACGTGGGATTAACCGTATCATGTGATCTTTTCTTGGGGAGAATTTCTAACATAGTTTCGGTTATATTTGTTTCCAGAGAAGGATGAAGGACATAGAGACAATTCTCAAGTTCTTCGTAAGTGAGGAATTTGTTATTCAGTTTAATTATAACCATATTACTAAACAAAATAGAATAACCATCCTTTCACAATTTTGAAACATAAATCAAATTTTTTCTCAAAGTGGGTACATAAAGACAATCTTTAAGTTTAATAATTCCTTCTTTGAAAACTAGTTCCATAGTTCCTATGGTTGTAGCTAAAATTGTTGTAGAAGTCCCCAAGTAAAGTGTCACCGCATCGTCACTCAGGCTTCTGCTTTTTTTGAACCCCTGCAATGTGTTATATGTATGAGTAGAAGCCTCGGAGTCAATACACCAAGATGTAGAAGTGACCAACATATTGGTCTCTATGACAAGAGATTTGAAATTACATTCTTTGTTCTTGGTGTTTAGATACTGAGGACAGTTCCTCTTCTAGTGTTCGATCTATTTGCAAAAGTGGCATGCATCCGATGCTTTATATTTCTTTTTCTTTTTCAACTTGCCTACTTTCTTCTGAGGTTTCTTCTTGCCYTTCCTCTTTCTTTTGCCTGACTTGCCACCTTCAACAAACCTGGCTATCGGCTTATTCTTCTTGATCAGTTCTTCAGACCTCTACAACATATTGCTAAGTTCCTAAAGGCTAACTTTTATCTTGATCATGTTGTAGTTCATGACAAACTGATTAAAGGTGGGAAGCAGAGAGTTTAAGATGGCATTAGTTTTAGTGTCCTCATCTAGCTGAGAACCAAGAGCCTCCAGTTCGTTGATATAACCCATCATTTTTAAGCAGTGGTCATGGACCTGTTGGGTCTCGGTCATCTGGGTGGTCGTCAATAGTTTGAGGACCTTTTGACAGGAAGAATGGTTTTTCTCCTCATGCATCGCCTTCAAACTATCCAGGATATCCTTGGACACTTTGATCTTATCGAACTGTCTCTGGATCTGATTGTCCAAAGATGCTATGATGAAACATCGGACAAGAGAATTCTTCTCCTCCCATTCCTGATACTCTTTCTTACGGGCCTCAGAAGCCCTGTCACCCAGATGTTTCGGAGCAAGGTTCTTGGCTACCTTGTCCAATTTCTCGAACGTCAAAACCAGATTCAGGTTACGAAACCAATCAGCATAATTGAGTCCTTTAAGCTTATTGTCATCCAACAACTTGGCAAATTGTCCGTTTGCCATTTCTGATAAAAGGCAACACTGATTAGTTCATGACCTAAAATTGATAAATGTTTACATAGAAAGGTCTTTTATCTATGTTTCATCTCCATTTATTCATCTCTGAGATTTTCCTCCTATCTCAGTGATGGAGACACGATGCATGTCTCTGGAAATGTGGGAAATCACATATGTTCATGGAGCCAACTGTTTCAATTGCAAACCCCACCACTTGACTATGAGATTTGGAAAATGGATGTCAAAACAGCGTTCCTGAATGGAGATCTTACTGAAGATATCTATATATAGCAGCTGCAAGGCTACATTGCTGCTAGTCAGGAACACATGGTGTGTAAACTTAACAGATCCATTTATGGACTTAAGCAAGCTTCTAGGAGTTGGAACATCCGTTTTGACTCTGCTGTAAAATCGTTTGACTTCAAGCAGAATCCGGATGAGCCTTGTGTTTTCAAGAAATCTAGTGAGGATATGGTTACGTTCTTGGTTCTATATGTAGATGACATTCTACTCATTGGGAATGATGTAGGAATGTTAACTACAGTGAAAGTATGGCTTTCACAGCGATTCTTCATGAAAGATCTTGGAGAAGCCTCCTATATATTGGGTCTTCGACTCTATAGAGATAGATCGAAGCGGATAATA